TTTTTGAGATTTCCATTGAGATTTGATGATTTTGAAGGTCTTTGAATGCAAATGTCTATTATTTTTTGAGATTTCCATTGAGATTTGATGCTTTTAAGTAATGATTCCTTTCATTTTTAATATTGCCAGAGATAGCTAAGTAATGATTCCTTTCATTTTAGTATTGCCAGAGTAGCTCCAGAGGTAGCTAGCTAAGGATTCCTTGTTTATTTATCAATTGATTGTTTTTCTAGCGTACTATTCTAGAGGCCCCAATTGTTGAGAGGGGGGGGTTGATTAATCAAGAGTCAACATTAGAGTTGTTGGTTCTTCCTCGCAGCGCGCAAAGAGAGCACCACTGAAGCGCCTGCACTGAGTCTGGACTCCAGCTGGCACTTCACAAGCTGCTTGAGCAAGTTCATGCAAGGAAAGGCCGGCCAGAAATGACGATTTTCGGGTTGCGAATTAATTTTTGGGCGCCGCTTCCGTGCAGCAGACCGGCTTGTGAAAAGGAATTTTGGCCGCCGAAAGTCAATTTTGCGGCCCCAAAAGAAAAAGAAAACCGCCAGGCCAGAATTGAACCTGGTACGCGGGCATATGAGACCATTGCTTCTCGAACTGAGCTATCCATGTTTCTGTTGGTGGGGGGCGGGGGCTGCCCACCAAATGCCTACGCATGAGATGCGTGGAGGCGTCAGACGTGCGGCATTCCAGCGCCTTGCCGGGAACTGCAATGAGAACGAAATAGCCCAACGCACTTCAGTGGATATATTTTGGGCGCCTTGCGTGCAAGGGGCTAAACTGCCACGTGGTGACTTTGTTGGCGGCGCCCTTCAAGGGTGACTGCTTCGGAAGCATGACTGGCAGGAAAGGGCCTTGATTGATGCTTAGCGCGCACAAACGGAAGAACTCGGTGAAGATTTTGAAAGGCTGAATGCGCATGATGATTTGGCCAAGCAGCGCAGTAGCCACTTTCCATACCGCCGCAACCATTGCGGACCATTGCAGTTCTTTCTTCAGAGCCGCGGTGGTAACAGGGAGCAATGATCAAACAGTTAAAACACCAGCTAAAGAGTTTATTCTACATTTTTCTAAAAAATTTACTAATCGCTTTATAAATTTTATATTGTCATTTCTGGTGTCATTGATACAGTGGCTTGCTATGGGTGTTCATGAAAGTTGCTGCAGACTTAGGCATGAAGATGCCACAAAGGCAACTAAACAACTAGTTAACTAGTAGTGCTGCAGCAGACTCTGCAGCAAGCTAGCACCATGGGCACTCACCATGAACATGCAAAACGATAAGGTTTGTTCCTGGTCAACCAAACCTCACAAAACGATATATAAAGAGTAGAAAAAACGATAACCCCACACGAGACATCTTCATAGTTGATGATTTTGGTTTTGATACCTCAAGTAGCTGCCAAGGCTGCCCGCGCTAAAAAGAACTCTCGATATGTCCAAAGGCGCAAGCAACCTCAGACTAGGCTATGCAGAGCGCTTATCATTCTATTCTAGATTCTAGCGTTTATCATTGTTGCGCCCTCACCTCCATGACTGGGTTTGCAATCCAGCAGAGAGGCTCAATAATTGAGAGGACATTCTGCAATTCAGAGTTAATTATTGGTGTACAATGTGCAATGTACATATATTCACAGGAAAGTATTTGCAACTAGCAGATATGCCACAAACGAGCGCAAACGTGATGAACGTTGGGGCCGACATTCACGCAAAACGAGGATTTCCAAGAAATCCCAACAATGTGCTGCCTGGGAGTTCTACTGGGTGCGCAATACTTGATTGTGCTATAGACCCTAAACCCTAGGTGCTGTTAGAACCAAAATTTCATGTTTGTGAGCACGCTCACACCAGCTTATTTAGGCTGGAAATGGCTGGAATGGGTAACATCCATGGCAGGTTTGTTAAGTTGAGCCAGAGGCCCGCTACAAAGCACAAACCAAACACTGCTTTGTTCAAAAGTAGGAATGCAGTGCTCTTCGTATCTCTTCGTTGAGATCCAATGTCACTTTGCACTTACTTCTTTTCTGCGATTGTTGGGCTATGTTGGATTTTTCTGAATGTCAGCCGAATATGTATGCAGGACTTTCCAAACTTTGTGGGGCGCATGGTTCACGGCGCCATGTTGAGGGATTATTCTGAAGAGCAGTTGTGGCAAGCCACTTGACAGCAGCGCCCATTTGTTTGGCAAATACAATGCTGTCATGCCGTATTAAAGCCCCTTGTTCTTGGGTGAATCGTGGCCATACAATGTTTTACACACTTTTACACAACGTTGATGTCCTTCACGAACAGGTCATCGGAAGCCCACGTGCGAGGAGGCGTTTGGCCATCCTCCAAAAGTGTCGCGGCAAGCAAGGCGAGAGAGCAACCTGGACTTCTTTCCGAACCTGCACATGCGTCCACAGTTGCAGTAAGATGTCAAGTCAGTAAGACGTCAAGTTATCGCATATGTTTAAATACATAAAAAAATGACAAAGGTTTCCGTGGTGTTCCGTCCGCATGCTGTAGATTGGACATACAGATGACGGTGACTCTCTCAAACAGAAGCAGTGGCACGCATGCTAGTCTTCAGGTAGAGTAGAACTCTTAACTGTTTGTTGGCACAATTGCCAAGAAAAGCAATTCAAACCTTTAGGGTTCGCTACAGCCAACTATATATTTACAGTATATACTCTCTTGTTCAGGCTGAAAGGCAACACATGGTGGGTGGAATCGGAACTAACTCCTAAAGGAGGATCTTTGCATCAAGATAGCATTCCGGCACACGCGAAACTGTTTTGTGACTCTGACGGAGACAAATTGAAATAGACAGGCAAATGTTTTTCACAACCGCTTCAGTTGCAGAACCTTCAAAGAAGCCCCCACCACCCTCAGGCAGGGGGAGCTTCCTTGAAGAAACGTGAGCTATCCTGCGTCCATAGTAGTAGCTACTTTAGCTACTAGCTGCCTCTTCTACTAGCTACCTCTAGCTGCTAGCTACTACCTCTACTAATGGCCTACCCCCCCTTTAAAAATATCACAACCAAAGGTTAATGCGAGTAAGCCACTCGTGTTAACGCGGTTGTGGCTTTCTGGAGGCCGGCTAGATGCGACGTGCTTTGCCAAAGCCGCCTGCAGTGCCGAATATGTTGCCCTGGCGAACTGTGTGCGTAGCAGTGCAATCCTTAGTCAGTGCAATCTTAGCTCAGTTGTATGGGCTTCTTTTTTTGGTGCTTGGGTGATAGTAAGCCCATCAATGAGACCTTTGGGCAGACTTTGCAAAGACCTTGTTCCGGGGCTTTCTCGTTTAAGGCATTACTGGTCTGGAAACAGGGTAAAGTTGTTTGCATGAGGGCATGAAAGCAACCATTCTATTTAGGATACTTTTGATAAACTTTGCGGTGCAAAGTCCATTTTTTGAACTTGAAATACAGTGATCCAGAATCTCTGCGTGGAAAAAACATATATATATATATATACCAATTTGGTTTTGCTTGTTCCGAAAGAGGTGGTGCGGAGAGCTGCCAGCAACAAGTGGCGGCCTTGACCGGATGCGTCCGAGATGAGTGGAAGGTGCCCAGAATTGCCGATGGCAAGATGCTGCCACGTCGGTGACAGTTTTTGTACTGACTCCAACATGACTATACAGCAATTTAAATAACGGTGCGCAAATTTCACATTACTCAAGTTGCCATTGCGGTGCTTCCGATGGCAGGCCTTTCTGATCTCGTCTTCGCCCAGCCTTCAGCATGACGCTTTGCAAAGGATTGAGAAGTTTGTTGAGCCTCCGAGTCCACTCTAGCGCAAAGCAAAAACTGCGTGCTTGTTTGTGATTTGGATAATTTTCTAGACTGCAGTCTGACAAACTGATACTCACAATTCCTGCCGGCAATTATATTCATCCAGCATTTTGGCTCGGTTTGTGTACGTAGTAAATGATATGCTGAGAGAGAGATCCCTTCCAGCTGCCCGTGATGCATCACTGATCACGCTCGCAGTATTGGAGACACAAAAGAATAGCAAACTATATATATATTATGTATATATTTGACCTTTCTTCATTTTCCTTTTCTTTGTCTCTAATAGCGATGGCCTCCAACCTAGAAGCGATGGCCTCCAACCTAATAGCGATGGCCTCCACATGATCTAAATTTTATGTCCTCAGTCCTCAGACTGTACAACAAAGATTCAGCTTCGAGCACAGTAGTCAGCTTCGATGAGCTCAACTTGCGGACTCCAACGCAATGTCTCCTTTGGCAGAAGCAAGCTGGCCAAGTTGTTATTTAGTTGACTCCGCGTGAATGTGTGTGTGTCACCTGTTTGTGAATGTGTGTGTTGGGGTCGTGTATCTCGCATTATCTCGCAAGTTGCCTTTCAAGTCCCCACAGTTGGTGGCGTACAAGGGTCGTGCAAGCAAGATCAATATTTTGATCATAAGCTGGATACTGGTGTCAGCTCCAGATGTAGGAAGAGAAAGTACGAGGTCGCTCGAGACAGAAGTTATTTTCGTTCGCAACAGGAATGTGGACATTCGCGCAACATCACACAACTCTTTTGCATTTTGCAGTGAGTCCCACTGGCGCTTTTGCAGCATAGGCTCGGTTTGTAAAGGTTTGTGTTACATGGAGATCAACATCCAAAGGGGAACGGTGAACTCCATGAAGCAGGCCAAAAGAATCAAGCTTTGCACGAGACAGGATACATGCTCACAAAAACACTCGGTGGACTCTTCGGATCACCCATGTGAGGATTCTTGAGGTACTGCACAAAAGGGCATGGCATTGCGGACATGCACGTACCAAGGGCATGAGAAAACGGGCATCATTTGAGGCACTGAGGCACATGCACATGAAGGATCATGCCTAATTATCTCTGAGTGACAAGCACAATACCAAGCTGAACCAAGCTTGTGTTTTCTGACGATCTCAGGTTCGAACGCTGCAGAGGACCTTCTTAGCAACTCACTTAAAATACAACAATAGTATACAGTATACAATAGTAAACAAATATATATATATATATATATAAGTTTTTTCCCTTGAAACAAGCTTGCTTCATGTGAAATTGTAGAACTACAATTGGAATCAGTTGGTGCTTGACAGCCTGAAACGAGCAAAATAGATTATCACTAAGCACTGTTCCTGATCATTTTGCTGTCGCTTTGGAGTTTGGAGATGGAATGGAGCACTTTTGAGGTCTCATTGTCAAAGTGTTGAAGGCATTAGAAGTGATTCGAAGACATGCTTAGGTGCCTTTTGCCGCAGTTCCTTGTTGGCCTCAGGTGCCACTCAAAAGCCGTTGGTTGACAGCCATTCAAAGACCTAGGCAAGTTTTGGACCAACATTGTGTCAGCTGGAAATTTCAGCTGAAGCTACTGGCCTTAAGAAGCTACTAGTACAAAGGGCATCGCTACTAGGAGCAAGGACACTACTAGTAGCTCCTGGCCTTACTACTAGGAGCAAGAAGCTACTAGTAACAAAGGGCATTTTCTACAGAGTGTGTTGTCGTGACGGCACCACATACATTAGCTCTTGCCAGACGTTAAGGTAGTGCATTTGATCTGCAGATTCAGGTGATCGGCATCAAATCTCCACGTAGAGATGATATTATTCTGGTGTTTTGATGCATTCGTGTGAAAGGTAAAGCCGGTCTCACACACACATAGGACTTGAGTGTGCAAGTACTTAAAGTGTTTTTTCCTTCTTGTGTTAAGCTTCGGACTGTATTATTGTTATTTAACCGCCGCTGGCGTGTTCCGCCGGCTTTCCAGGTGGCAAGGCCATAAGGTAAACAAAAGCAGACACGCAGATGAAAGACACATGTTTGTAGCAATTTGAGCACGGGTTGGAAAGAAGGAGTAGAAAATGCCTGCGGTGGAACACAGGGTAGTTGTTTATCTATAGAAGAGTTTGGCATCTTAGCGGACAGGTTGGAGGCATGGCAGGAGGAGGGTGCTCCGTGCTGCAGCCTTGATCTATCTTTGGGGCGTACGCTTCGAGGATGCAGGGTGAATGCGGGAGTGCCGTAGAGGATGATGTGTGTGCTGTCTTGGCATAGTAGAGAGGAGAAGGGGGGGGGTAGCAAAAATCCGCGGGTAGGGGAAAGACTTACAACACAACAGCAACAGCAACAGGAACATCCACAGAACACGCCGGCTAAAGCCGGCGGATTGTGTATTTTCATACTGAGACCTCCTTTTAGCGGTGGTTTGATCTTCCCACTTGTCGTCGGGAAGTCTATGGATTGTAACACACGCACATATATGTATATATACATACATAATTTCTGCTCCTGCACACAATGATATTGCAAAATACATTTCAAGTATATATATACATATTATCTACAGCTCAAAGTAGTTGTGTGTGACATTTATGAAAAACAATGAATGTTGGGTACGTACGCCTGCTTGGTGCGGTACGCATGGTTGGTACGCATGGTTGGTGCGGTACGCATGGTTGGTACGCATGGTTGGTGCGGTACGCTATATGTGTGGCTGGCACACACGACTGGATGCGTGTACTTGGTGCGATACAAGTCGTTACAATAAAGTATGCAGCATGCAGCATGCAGGTGTTCAATGCGATGCATGTGGTTTGTTGACGCAAACACCGATGTTTGTTGTAATGCGGGGTGGCACATCTATATGTCTATATGAGGTATAAGTTTGTCTCTAGCTTCAGCGATAGGCGTGACTGGTCATGCTTGTGTTGGTCTCATGCAAACATGTTTTGGCCATACCTCTTGACAATCACATCTGTTGTGTGTGTCATTGTTTGCCTGCTGGTTTGTAGTGATGCTTTTGATTTGAAAGAACCACACCACATTGCCCTTCCTCCTTGCTTCGCTTGCTCAACTCCGAGCAATTTGACACAGGGGAAATCTGTTAAGTCTTCAGGTTACAGGTGGTTAAATGTTGTCTTGACATTGTTAGGATGTCAATGCATGCTATGTTTGCAAACGTTTGCAAGTCTGATCTCATGTTTCATGTCATCTAAATGTTATTTTTATGTTATCTATATAAACTAAATGTTCTGAGACCTAAAAACCAGTTGTGCAAGATTCATGGTCAAACAACTCTGATAATCCCAAACACGAGATGATATAGCTATGCGAGCTCCAAAAGGGTACATGGAAATCGAAAGGGGTACATGATGCATATAATATAATATCACGTGATGTATTCTCATATTGGCAGCAGCGTAGGCTACTCCATGAGACTAATTTAGACCGTCATGTTGTATGTGCACGCCTTGCTTGCCATGGCTGTGGTATGGCAAGATTTGCTTCGCGCCAGCCAGGGTCACCTGTCTGAAGTTGTTGAACTTGATTGATCCCTGACCAGTGGCTGCGCTGCGCTTGTTCTTTATTTTTTCGTTTCAGGCCTTGTGTCAGAGGATTCGCAGGTGGCATCACTTTCGCGTAGCTTGGTTTTTGTCGTTTTATTCAAATGATGTCTTAGCGTCAGCTGCAGTGACTTTGACAGGAAGCGTGATGTTGAGTCTGTAGATTGAAGATCTGATATGATAAAGTATGAATGTAGTGTAGTATAGTATACACTATATTGTTTTTTGCATATGGCGATGTGCATTACACGACTCCTCATGCACCGCTTTTCAACTAACTTTGAATGTTGGTCCTTACTTATTTGTTGAGTTTGCTTTGCAATGTTGCATCTTTCCTAGACTAAGCAGACTCTTGCTTTTTACATAAAGTAAGACAGGTTCTTCTAGGCGAGGGAACTGTGGAAACATGTAACATCTGAGGAAGAAGAAGATCAGCGTTGTGTTGCAATCAGCGCCGCAAGACGCATTCCATCAAGCCGCTTTCTGAAGAACTTGTGCGTGTGACCTTTGTTTGTGGAGGCACAGAAGCTTTTGCAATAGATATGTCAGTCAGTACAATCAGTTGCAGTTAAAGCTTAGGTCCCTTATCGAGATCACCAATGAACGAGCGACCAGGCATCAGGACACTTTTGTTCATCGTCGAGGAAAGGCAGTGCAGCGCAAGATTGCAGGGCCAGGCAAATACAAACAATTTACATCCAAGACTATGCTGCAATCAATGTTTCCTGACTAAGATATCGAAGGTTGCACCGGTTGCACCAATTGAATAAACACAGTGGGTAATAGCAGCATGACACAGGTTCCAACATGTTATATGTTTATGTTTTTATCATTAACTACAGTGCTTACACATGCACACGCAAACACCCACTGAAGGTTTGGATGTTCAGTGTCAATGTCGGCAGTTCGCAGCCAATCTTCAACTGTGAGACAGTCGTCGCCAGCTGCTCAGCTGGTATTTTATGTGCTTTGGATATGACACACATATCAACGCAAAAACAGCCTTCTGCAAATTTGCTGGACTAAGGGAATGTATTCTCTCAACTCAATGGCCTACTGGATGCAATCTTCTTCGAAGTATCTGGGGAGGGCAACTTGGGTCTTTCAGTAGTGCTTCATGCTTTCTGCAAACCACTCATCAATGTCGATGATGTTTGTGTTTCATTTTGGTAGATTTGATTTGGCGGTTACGCGCTAGATTTTATGCTCTCTGTGACTACCTCTTTCAAGATGAAGTCTGCACACGCAAGGAAGCTAGAGTTCAAGAGCTTTTCAAATAAAGCTGGGTGTGCGCGTCGTTGATCACACTAGAATCTAGAATGAGACTTGCTGATTTCGGTTTCACCCCTCATACTCACTTAAATGTGTTTTATATGTGTAGTCTTTACTGCAATTTTGTTAAACCAAGGTGAGAAATTCGATCGCTAATTTGATGATGCAGTTCCAGAAGATTGTGGTTTGGTCATATGGAGCTGTTGCTAGTCTGCCCTATAGCCTTTGGCAGATGTTCACCTTGACAGTATGCCCCACACACACAAGCCTTCTACTTTATTGTCACAAGAACGCTAGACTTTCACCTTTTTGTCAAAACCAACATGATTACATAATGAAGCGTCCTTACACTCG